TCAGGAATTCAGACCAGGTCCATGGGATACAAGTAGGCGAGAGACGGTATAAAATCACTCTCTTCGCCGATGACATCATGCTAACCCTTTCCAAACCGGAGACATCACTCCCAGTGTTTCAACATATATTGGCAGAATTTAGCAATTGTTCCTACTACAAACTTAAAGCTGCTAAGACACAGGTTATGGGTTTAAACATAAATAAAACGCAACTTAGGCACTTACAATCTACACACACATACGACTGGAAACAAAATCACCTAACCTTTCTGGGCATAGACCTTACACCCCAGACGCATCAATTATATAAAGCAAATTACAGGAAATTACTAACATCCATACAACAACAACTACAAAATTGGAAAAAGAAGTATGTTTCATGGATGGGAAGAATAGCAGCTGTCAAGATGCTAGTGTTGCCTAGACTGCAATATCTTTTCCGAACACTCCAGATAAAATTGCCGAAACAATTTCTCAAGGAATCTCAAAGATGTATAACTCACTTTGTCTGGGGGGGAAAAACGCTCTAGGGTAGTGGCAACTGTTATGTATAAAACCTTCAAAGAGGGCGGGATGGGGATGCCAAATATAGCAAGGTACTATAAAGCAGCTATGATAAGCACATTGCTAGATGTGTTCCACTATGCTAATCCACCAGCATGGAGCCAAATGGAAACTGCTCAGGCGGCGGGGCTTACATTACCAATGCTGGCTTGGATGCCCAAGGGGTACAGACCCAAAAACCATAAAATTAGCCCAACAACGGCAGCGACACTCCAGGTCTGGGATGAATCCATTGGGAGAAACTGCTTAGAAACACACATATCCCCAGCTCTGCCACTCCAAACATACAAAGCCCTTATCCCCGGGTTCGATTATAACATATGGAACAATCATGGGGCCACATACTTATCCCAAGTGATGGTAGGTGGACGTTTGGCGGAATTCACATCCCTCACCAAGAAATTTGGCCTTCCTGCGAGGGCATATTTTTCATATTTGCAATTAAACTCATGGGTAGGGAAAAACACCAGCTCGAACAAGCAGCAAACGCAAAGCAACTTGGCAATAGAGATGGAAAAACTCTGCCTAGCCCCTAAACCTCCCCCCAGGATGCTGTCACACCTATATAGATTACTTACAAAATATGATCAATCTCCAGAACCCAATTTTAAAAAAGCATGGGAAAAGGACATAGATAAAGCAATACCAGACGACCTATGGTCAAAGATATTTATGGCGCATAAAACCCCAACGCTAAACACCACACATCGAAATTAGCAGGAAAATACTATACAGGATGTACTTGGTACCGGCTAAACTTCATAAAATAGATCCAAATAGACCTCAGTCATGCTGGAGATGTCAGTCCGAGCCAGGGACAATGATCCACATGTGGTGGTCTTGCCCGGGGATTAAGACATTCTGGGAAGATATCTCAAACACGGTTAAAACAATAACAGGCAAAAGACTGCCACACACACCAGAAACGTACTTATTGATGGTGATGCCACAGGATTTACAAAAAGCTGATCTCTATCTAACATATCATATTATCATTGCAGCCCTGGCTGCAATAAGAAGGTCATGGCTAAAAATACACCCACCGGACATTCAGCAATGCCTAGGGGAAATAGACATCACTAAAAAATACGAAACTGAAATACGTAAGCCGAGACCCAAAAATACCATATGGTCCACAGCATGGGACAAATGGGAAAATTGGCGGCAGCACACAAACGCACCTACAAAATTGGTAAAATGTTTTGTTTAAGATATAAACAGGCTTAGAGAGATGGCAGACCGACACCTATCCCCTCCCCCCCTCCCTTACAGTGTTCCCAGTTATCCCTCCTCTCCATGTTATCTAAGAAAGAAGGGACACATGAAGTAAGATGACGCATATGTGTTGACAAGACATTAGACTCCAATAGGCTAAGATATGAAGCAGCTGACGATGTAACAGTAAGGTTGTGTCTAACTGAACATGTCTACCCCTTGCATGGGGATGTATTATACAAATGATCTTGTTCCCCCACCCTCTCTCTTCTGTATCCCTTCGAGCAACTAAAAACAATAAAAATTTATGAGAAAAAAAAAAAAACCTAGACTTTTACATGAGAAGTTTACGAAATTGAAATTTAGAAGGGGGAACTCCAGAATGGTGTAACAAAAAAAACTGCCCTGTACTTCTGGGTGAATATTTATATAAGCCTTGACTGGACATAACCAATGGTGAATAGCTTTCAATTTCACCCATCGCTCCCTCCCCAGGTGATCGGTTTTCGATCGTCTTAATAAAATACTTAAATTTTCATTCTGTAAAACAATGTCTCCAAACTGTATACCTGAATGGCAAGACTTGCTATCAGAAACTAACTCACTAATCCTGAAGGCTCCGAAAAATGCCAATATAAAAGCAGTTGTAAAGAGTTAGGTCTTAAAAGCATCCCTACAAGTGGAACTTACATTTTTTACTAAATTGCCCAACAGCTGAAAGGAGACAGGGGACCTATTATCTTGGACTGGAGTTTTCCTTATCCAAGCCCCCTTTAAAATCTGCTGGATAATGAATTCCTTAAACACTGGCCTCTTTCCCAGGGAAAAGGAAATACCTAAAAGGGCGCTTTTAAAAAGAAAACCTGGATACACCAGCCCGAAGTTTTGTAATTAAATATATAATTGCATCTTGAATAGTAGGGTCAGTAGCATCCTTATCTAATTTTAGCATAAAGTGTTGCCAACCTTCCCAAGCCTTCAGGTATGCTGCCCAAGTAGATGCAGACAATGATAAACCCAGCAAATGGCTTATCTGGGTGAAGTTAGCTTCCAGATGTTTTCTGGCAACCTCGTTCCAACTTCGTCTGCTAGGGGTGCCAGAAATCTGAAAGACTTAAAATCAAAACGGGACAAGGCATCAGCTATACGGTCACTTTTTCCCTGTACTTGCTTAGCTTTTACCCAAATGTTATTAACCAAGCAAATAAAAACCAGACGTCTCAGTAGATTGATTACTGGTATTACATTTTGGGAATTGCTTACCCAAACTACTCCCAAATTATCACAATGAAAAATGGTCCTTTTGTTGGACAATTCAGAACCCCAAACCTCCAGGGCTACGACTATTGGGAACAATTCAGAAAGAGTGATCATTCTTGTCTAACCATAATCTTCCCATGACTGAGGCCAACTAGCTGTTGCCCTTTTACCATGAAAATATATACCAAAGCCTTGAGACCCAGCCCCATCCGTAAAATTATCTAAATCCCAGCTGGATATAAATTCACTTTGCCAAATTGTGGACCCATTAAATTAGCATAAAAATTAGTTCCATACATGTAAGTCTTCTTTTATCTCCCTGGAGATTCTAACATGGTGATGTGGGGTTTTATAGCCAGCTATCGCTCTTGCCATGTGTCTAGAAAAGGCTCTGGGCATGGACATTACTCTTTAAGCAAAATTTAACAGACCCAACACAGATTGCAATTTACCTACCGAGGTTTTGCCAAACTCTAGTAAGTGTGAAATTTCACGCTTCATTCTGATAATCTTGTCTTTGGGCAAACTGAACTCCATCCGCTATGAATCAATAATTATGCCTAAAAACTGTAAGCACTAGGCCAAACTGTTTTCTCTTTTGCCAATGGAATGCCAAAATGCTGGGCAATAGGCATGAAAATCTGCAACAAATTCAAGCAATCTGAAGATTCCGCTTTACCAATGAAAAGGAAATCATCTAAATAATGAATAACCAAATGTAAACCAGAAACCTGTTTCAAGAACCCATTCCAGGAAACTTGAAAAGATTTCAAAATAAAAACACGAAGCAGAGCAACCCATAGGCATACATTTGTCAAAATAAAATCTTTCCTCAAACTGGAAACCTAGAGAACCAAAACAATCTGGATGTATGGGGAGCAGCCTAAACGCTGCTTCAATGTGGCCCTTCGACATAAGAGCCTTATGCCCACATTCCTTAACACACTGCAGCGCATCATCAAATGAGCTATATGACACAGAAATAATGGAAGCATCCACCTCATCATTTAGTGATGTATACTTCGGGTAAGATGGGTGATGAATTAGTCTATATGAACTTTTTTCTTTCTTAGGGACTAAACCAAGCAGAGATAATCTGAAATAAGGGAAAGGCGGAACAACAAATGGGCCTTCAACTCTTCCTAAAGCTATTTCTCTATCAATTTTATCTCTAACCTAACTACTATTTAACTTAACAGAACTAAGATTTTCAACAAACTGAACAAATGAACTACAAACAGGAATTCTAAAACCTTCCTTAATTAATTGCGTTATCTGCTTGTTTGGGTAACATTTTAAATAAGGGAGCAGAATTTGGATTTTCACTAGGGTCAAAGCCTTTTGAAACGTGTTCTTAGGCAGCAGCGCTCTGCCTCCTAAAACACCGAAAGGACGGATGATTCCCAGCACAGTTAAAGCATTCATGCCTAAACCTGCAAGAATTCGTCCATTTACATTGTGATTCATTAAATGACCAACAGACACCTTTTGGGCATACCTGTAGCCCACTCACCTTAGTCTGCGGTCTGTACTGATTCTGTGAAACCCTGCTTGGCAGCATAATGCTAACCCAGGAGCCAACATCCTTCATACTCCATTTCAGACTCTTATGTACAGATAATGTCTTCTGGAAAATGTAAACTTAATTAAACCAAGCTAGACTACCAAAATGCTTGAAAGCTTCCAAAATAGCGTCTAAGTGTTGAAAAAGCCCACTAGCTCTATCCGAATGCTGCTCAAAATAAATGCTGACAAAAAAATACAGAAAGCCTGAAGCCAATTATTAATAGAACGGGGCACTGGTCTTTTCCTATCCTTGTCTTTATCTAACCTTGACAAAAATTCTTTAGAAGTTGGTAACAGTGAAAGAATATCCACATAGTCATCATTCCAAATGTTTTCCTTCACACAATTTGACAAATGATAGCCCAGAGGTGAAACCTTGCACACCAAAGCTTCTTTCAGACAAGCCTCACTAATAGGCATATTGCTCCTGTCAGACCTATCAAACCGACAGGAGCAGTTGAACTTGGTAATTTTGAACTATCCTGTAACCAAGCCATAGCTGGACTACCCGCTTTACCTCGGGCGGGCATATTCTGCGAGGTGCCGGCTTGCTCATCGCCTTCAAAGACCGGTACTTGCCCCAACTCAGCAGCTTGACAGGATTTTCTATTCCTTTTCCCTGCACCTCTGGTCTTCTTGCTCCCTCTGGTGGATGAAGGAGAATAGCTCACTCTGGACTTGGAAATCCTCTTCTTTCTTCCATGAAGCACACTTCTGTCACTCAAGCAAACAGACATCCGCTGCTCCTCCTCTGAATCTTTCCCTTTTGCAGCGTCCTCCTCCTCCGGCACTATAATGTCCAATGCAGCATCCTGTAGGGGGGAATCCATTTGGCAGGAAGGGGCAGTCAAGGCACTGCATTAGCCTTTCAGCACCTCCATTGCTGAATGCCCTCCTTTTCACTTCTTTAATCAAGTGCTCCAAAGGAAAACAGCTCCAAGTAGGGTAATTTCTTCTTTCTTCTGGCGCCAAAACTTACCTCAGGGCGCCTTATATAGCGCTTTTTTCCCACCTCAGAGTACCCTTGCGGACAAGTGCTCCAATTAGAACACTGTCCGCGCAGACCCCTGCTTTGAAAACCTCACGAAGGCACTGCAACAGCCGTTGCTAAATGCCCTCACGGTCATCGCTATTCGTTCCGCGACCTGACCCCTGATTAACCCCGTGACACACATGTGTACCTAGTCTATGGACTAGGTACATTATGAAAACATTGTTTAAATTGAGAAAGAATCAATGAGTTTCTTTTAACAATCACAATAATTCATTGCAATACTAGTTTGTGTTTTCTACTTCCCTAGATTTGATTCAATATAAAAAAAAAAAAAAATATATGTTTTTTTCTTTGTTTTATTTTTTTTCTGCTTTTTTTGGCAAGTTTGTTTGTGTAAAATGTAACTAGAAGCTAAAAAAAGAAATGAAACATTGTATAACCCTTTAAGCATCAAAGGAATGACCAGAGCACTGCAATGCTTGCATTTCTACTAAATAAGATTTAACGTAACAATTACATTTTAAAAATTAGAAATTGTAACCGGTTTTAACCACATGGCATTAATGTGATTTACATTTTATAGGATGACAGCTTCGATGCATAATGAAAATAACAGTACCTTGGTAATCATATATTCTTTATGTTTTCCTTAACATTTAAAAAATTATACTGAATAAGAAAAAAAAATATATAGTTTGTTTCACTTTTTATATTTCTACAGAACTTTTCTGGAATAGCTTGTTGGCAAATTATACTCTCAGGATATATATTCCTTCTGCATGAAACTCTGGGTGTGGGATCCACTATTTATCAGTTCTTACAAAATTGAATAGTGGCTTTTCCTCACTTAATAGGCTTCCAACCAACATAGCAATATTGACAAGAATCTACCTTATATTTAAGTTTCATTCAGCATTACTATAGTTTGATATTTTACCAGTTTCAAAATGTAGCTAATCAGTTATGAATAACCGAGTCCTCAAAGCAGACCAAATGTCCAGACTATTTCAACATTGGAACAGAACTGGGAAATGTCTTAATCCTAGACTGTTAGTGTGCTTTGAGAATTAATCTAGAGATAGCTACATCGAATTACCTACACTGCACTGCATACACCAACTGAGAACATCATATATCGAGGTATACAACGACAACAATTGTCCTCCACAGTGGAGTTTATTCACCATACTCATCTTGTTTTTGCCTGATGTATACGGTTTGAATTTGCATTATTGTTTTAGAAACTGTAGGGCCTAAGCACCTAGGTATAGATCAGGTCCAGATTTCCGGCTGTAAATATTTTAGAGTACACACCTGGTTTCCTGTGCTGAAGGCTAGAATCATATATAAATCTTCTGAACAAACACTCTTAATGTAATGCTGAGTTCCAATCGGGAAGAAAAATACATCTCCCACGTCAATGGCAAACTCTTCAACTGGCTCCGCACCCACAATACCAATCTAAAAGTAAATACATTGTTAGTAAATGGTTCTTCACAAGTAGTTAGTTTGTCACAATGTATATTTTTGATTTTTTTTTTTAGTTAATTGTTTCAGAATATAATGTTTCTGTAATAAATAGATATCAATAATATTGACAGTGAAAGTACCATGGCACCATATTTTCCTTTCTTATCTTAACTAAAGCTAATTTGAGGACTCATTCACGAGAAATCCTCTTGACTTTATTGAGCATAATGTATGTATTATTATTTTTTAAATGCTGAATATTAGAAAGAATGTTTTATTCCACATGATATTATATATAGACACACAGACTTAGAAAGTACATTTGGGCAACACAAGGAAAGTATATTGCCAGAGGTGACAAACTATGAGATTGTGAAGTTACATGAATAATTCTGGATGAAACAACAACTTGTAGATATGTAAAGTAAATATAAAAAGTCACCCGTTTACTAAAGGCAACGTAGATACCTATAGCAACAGACTTGCACTATCCCAGATCAGGTATTGTCATGTTATAACTAACTCGTTATTTCAAGTATTACATATTGGCTATTTACTAAGCACTGTTTTGCTTGTTACCAAATCCTGAAACCAGGCATTATCCGTTGTCCAGCAGCTATACAATAAAAAGTACTGCTGACAGCATTGAGCTCACAACTAAAGAATAATGAACATCATAAAGTCCTCTGTAATGACACATGTGAACCACAAACTTGTTCGAGAACTGGGCTAATGGGCTAATCAAAAGGCAAGCAGGTAAGTGTGTTACCCAATCTTAGTGTTCTCATATTGTCTGTTTTCATGTTGTAAAATAAATATTTAGCTGCCTTTTCTTCATAAGGTATTCATATTTGTTGATATATTTGCATCTTTTCTCTCTAATGTGTAAGATAAAAGTTCTCTACAATTTTAAAACAAATGTGTGCTACTTTTTATAATTAATATGTATTAATTGCTAGATAAAAAAATTCTATTAACCACAAAAAACGAAAAGAAAATCACCCCTATTTACCAATCCACATCCACTGATAACATATCCCATTTCATGAGCGTTGAAATGAAAATGTGGTTGTCTGAGGCCATTGCTGTAAATTCTTAATGTTGCAAGGGTGAGTGTATCCTCATGCTAAGTAAAAACGAAAAGGACAAGTCAAGTTATACCTTTTCATAAAACTAATGCATATTCGCTTACATCAAGATGTTTCTAAAGGGATTGCTACCATTTCTAATGATAATTCATATGGATTAACTCTTGAGAGCCCTTACTACTGAATCCAGTAAGCATATAACATTAAGTAGTCAGTAGATGTACTTTTTGGGAACATGGAACACTGTCATAGCAAATGCTTTCCTTAAACTGACAGTGTTAGGGTTAATAAACATCTATGGGTTAAAAATAAAAACGTATTCATCCATTTACTAAACTAGTCATCAGATACTATCCATGCAGTTTCCTATTTTAGAGCATTTGTCTTTTAAAACAAAATACCTCCTGAGACAAAATTATAATAGTATCACCACAAAAGAAAAAACGAAGTGCACCAAGATTATCATTTAGATGAATAATTAGTAAAATAAACAATTAAAAAAATGATAGCCAACTTCTATATGCTGATTTGTATGTACGAAAACCAAGGTGCAGTCCCCTGACTCTCTGCCACTTTCAGTTAACTTGGGTAGAGAGTTGCTCAAAGATTGCATGTTACAAAGGGTCCTCGAAAATCCAAAGTATTGGGATGAGAAAATGCCTGGGTTTTAACGTCTGGAAATGCTATGACATTTGATGAAGATCTACATGAATTAATGGAAGGGCTTTAGACTGTAAGATCATTCGTTCAAGCCTCTCCCCTCCTCGTTTCTTGTATTTCAAACGTTTGTTTCAGTTAAGCATATGTTTTGTTGGCCAGTTGTACAATTCTATAGGATATGTTGGCAATTTATAAACAATACAATATAGTAATAATAAGAATAATAATATAAATGCACATCATGACATTTAAATCAATAGGAAATCTCACTTAAATATAAGAAAAAAAAGTATTTACATTATTGATGGATTCGCTGTAGACTCTCTCTTTTTCATTCAGGTCCGCTGAATTTCTGCGATAGCGTGCCCACTGAATGATACCTCCAGGGAACTGATACTTCTTGGAGCCTTAAAGGAAATTCATAATATGTTGATACATGTATCTTAATATACTGATACACACTAGAAATTGTATGGTGATCTCTACAGTTGCAGTAGGCATTACTAGAGTTAGGGTCCTAAAAGATAATGACAAGACTGGAAATTTCTACTGGCTGTTCTTAATTACAACTTGTAAGGAAACCAAGTATATTTAAACCTCATTCGGTAGTTTCCTCCCAAACCGCCAGAGCCTAGTGATTATAGCCCTCCGTTCGGTAGATAAGGTAGTCAAATCCTATAGTAATTCCAATAGCTTCATCAGATAATTCCCTTAGTGAAACACACGAATCCCCAAACATCAGCCGAAGTCAAGAAGAAGGGAACAAAATGAACTGTCCTTTAATGGGTGCACACAGCTTTTATGCAAGTCCCCATGCAAGGGGACAGCCCTCAGGGAGGGACAAACAATAGCCAATCATAAACAGTAAAATGTTAACACACCTACAATTCCCTCCCCTAGCCCAGGAGATAATTTAGTCTCATAAAATAGTAACTTAATTATCTCCGGGCTGGAAAAAAAAAAAATCACTTTTTTCCCCCCAATTTTCAGAACACCCCTTTATACTAGGGGTATCCCCATAAATTATATGACCCCTGATAGCCCTCATCTGGGTGACCAACATATTCGAATTTCACCCAGATCGGTTCAGGGGTTCGCAAATTCTATGGAAGTCTTGTGTGACCGGCTCACCCTGGGCTGCAGGCCCAAAACAGTTCCACGAATTTGGTGGGTTTTGCCGGTCACTTTCGAAAAACAAAAACGAAGAAAAGTACCGAATGGATCCCTCTGGCTCCTAGCAGCATTTGTGCCCCTCTGTCGAATGCACCAAAGTACAGAATAGCGCTCTTCTAGCTATTCGGTAAATAGAGTTCAAGCGTTCGTCTGTTTGGGACCAGTGTTCGGGAAGTCGAGTGTCCATAAAAAACAGTTCCATGCACTCGACGACCAGGTCCTGCTGCCTTTGTTCGCATGAACAAAGATGGCCATGGTTTTCTTTGCCACGTGGCGTTCGACTTACGAACGCTGGCAGCACAGACAGAGGTAGCAATTTCACCTAAATCTTTGATGTTTAATGAGCTAGAGGGTGGTCCCGGTTCGGTAGTTTCATATACCGAATGCAATAGGCAGTACATAGAGAATAAAAAGGGAATGCACACTGTAAATCACATAGGAATAG